AATCTTGTGAGACACTATTGGCAGACACTCCTGCAAGACACTCTTCGAAGACACTCTTGGCAGACACTCCCCCTTCAAAGACACAAAAAGACACAACAAAACGCCAGCGCAACAAAATCACCAGCCCAACACAATGCAATCACCAACGCAGAACAAAATAACAAAATCACCTGCTCAAACATAGTCGCCACCGCAAACAAAATTACCAGCGCAATAAAATCACCAGCACAACAACATCACCGCCGCAGCGAAATCACCAGCCCAAACAAATCACTAGCCCAAACAAAATCACCAGCGCAACAACATCACCAGCGCAATAAAAATCACCAGCACAACAACATCACCAGCGCAACGAAATCACCAGCACAACGAAAGCACCAGCGCAACAACATCACCACCAGCACAACAAAATCACCAGCACAACGAAATCACCAGCGCAGTGAAAATCACCAGCACAACGAAATCACCAGCACAACAACATCACCAGCGCAACGAAATCACTAGCACAACGAAATCACCAGTACAACGAAATCACCAGCACAACAACATGATCAGCACAACGAGATCACTACCAGCAGCACAACAACATCATCAGCACAACGAGACCACCACCAGAAGCACAACAACATCACCAGCGCAATGAAATCACAACGAAATCACCAGCGCAACACAACGAAATCACCAGCAGAACGAAAGCACCAGCGCAGCCGTCAAATGCAAACAGAATAGAATTGCACACAATAGGCGCCGAAAAGCAACTCCAAAAACCGGATTTCGACATCCAAGCTCCAACAATGCAATTTTGCAACGTTTTTTAATTAGAGTTTTAAAAGGAAAATGAAAGCCGTCAAAGTGAGAAAAATTGACGCGTCAACTCCATTCGCGTTGCAATTACAGTTGGATTGACGACGAACACTTGCAAAACACGATATAACTACGCACGCAAGTGACATCCAGGAGCACCTGTAGACAGCCCTTACAATGCGATGACCAGCGGTCATGTGCAAAACACAATAAAATTGCGCACGTCAATGACATCCAGGAGCACTTGGAAACAGTTCTTACAATGCGACTACCAGCCGTCACGTGCAAAACACAATAGAACTGCGGACGTCCAGGAACAAAACGCAATCGCAGGGACTGGAAAAGCTACAAAAGTATTGCGCCTGCCACACTCCACGCTTTACACCCCACGCTCCTTACTGCACACTCCTCACTCCACACTTTACACTCCACACTCCTCACTGCACACTCTCACTCCACACTCTACACTCCACACTCCACACCTTACACTGCACACTCCACACTCTACACTTTACACTCCACACTCCACACTCTACACTTTACACTCTACACTTTACACTCCACGCTTTACACTCCACACTCCACACTCTACACTTTACACTCCACACTTTACACTCCACACTCCACACTCTACACTTTACACTCTACACTTTACACTCCACGCTTTAAACTTTACACTCCACAGTCCACACTCTACACTCCACACTCACACTCTACACTCCACTCCACACTTTACACTTTACACTTTACACTGCGCACTCCTCACTGCACACTTTACACTCCTCACTCCACACTCTACACTCCACACTCTACACTCCACACTCCATACTTTACACTCCACACTTTACACTCCACACTCCACACTCTACACTTTCCACTCCACACTCTACACTTTCCACTCCGTACCATTAACATACCTGTGAGCATTCGGGTTCCGGGCTGCAAAGAAATTTCGACACGGTAAAAAACAGGTTGGAATGTCACAAAGTGCCACGCCTGCCACGCAAAACGACATGACAACCTGCTTGGAAACTTTCGAAAAGGAGGTTTTGCAGCTTCCCCCATGGACACGGCGACGTGTCTAGAAACTAGAGACTCGAGACGAGACACGTGGGCGCAGCAAAACTTTCGACACGTTATCAAACAGGTTGGAATGTCACAAAGTGCCACGCCTGCCACGCAAAACGACATGACAACCTGCTTGGAAACTTTCGAAAAGGAGATGTTTTGCAGCTTCCCCCATAGACACGGAATTAACGACCCGACGACGACGCGACGAGACACTCGAGGCGAACAAGGGCCCAGCCCCCAGACCCCCAGACTATAAACGGGGAACGCTTCGCTACAAAATTCGGGAAAAAAGGGTTTCGATTCGTATCAGTTTGCTGATTATATTATATAATGTCCTTTTCAACTTAAAGAAGTCTAAGGGTAGCTCATGTGCTCAATTCATGTCAATCTATTTAGAACTCATTTGGGAATATCATAGAAATCCTTTCGAACCCCCTTAGAAATCCAATGAAATCATCATGGGAACCACACAAAAGTCCCATAGGAACCCCATGGAAATAGCATAGCCCTTAGAAATCCCATATGAACCCCATAGAAATCCCCTGGGAATATCATATGCACCACGACGAAACCCCATAGGAATCCCATAGAAATATCATAGAAACACCATAGAAATTCCATAAAGAAACCCACAGAAACCACAGGAGAGGATGCCAGGAGAATTGAACTAAGTTAGAGACAAAAACTATAGTAAAGGAAAGGACAAAAAATGATTTTGGAAAATGTTCATTTCAAAAAAATGGACACAATACAGGAACCCCACAACAAACACACTGTTGAAGTTCAGGGTTGCTAACGGGTTACCCCCTTGAAAAATTGTTTGGGTGCTATTTTCAATGGGGTTTTAATAAGGCATCCTATATTTTGGGATTTAGACATGTTGAGAATTCAAGGAAAATGGAGCTAAGCAAGTAAGAGACACAGCTATAGTAAAGAAAGGATACAAGGATTTTGCAAAAAATGTTCCCTTCAAAAAAACTGGACACAACAGAGGACCCCACAACAAACACACTATTGGAGATCAGGGTTGATCATAAGAATGGAGCTAAGAAAGTAAGAGACACAAGCTAAAGGAAAGGAAAAGGTAAAAGGATTTAGGAAAATGTTCCTTTAAAAAAATGGACACAATACAGGATCCCCACAACAAAAACAAACACACTATTTAAGATCAGGGTTGCCCACATTCTGCCCAGTGGCGGAAAAATTGTTTGGGTGCTGTTTTCTTCTGGCGTGGCAATAAGGCTTCAATTTTTTGGGGAGGTTAGACATGTTGAGAATTCCAGAAGAATGGAGCTAAATAAGTTAAGAGAGAAGGTTCCCTCATCGTCCATGCCCCTAAACCGCTCCTGGGGCATCCTGGGGCTATAGTTGCTCGAAAGATGGTCTTTGAATACGGGCGCAGATGACGAAAAGCTCCACGCAGGTCGCGCGAACCAAGCATGGCACAGGTTGTCGTTTGTGCCCCTAAGCCTTCGCTGTGACAATGGCAACTTGTAGTTTTTGAAGGAGGTCTCGCGCAAAAGCTTGGTTCTCACGACTTAGAACAGCAGTTTTTGAAGGAAGTCTAGTACGAAAAGTTCTGTTTCACATCTTCAACTTCCTGGTTCTTGAAGGAAGTCTTGCACGAAAGCTTTTGTTTCACGCCTTCAACTTGTAGTTCTGGAAGGTCGTTTTCACGACTGCTATTTGTAGTTTTCGAAGGAAGTCAGGAGATGACAAGAGATGAATCAGAAGGGAGATGTCATGAGAAAGAGATGAGAAGATAAGACGTCAAGCGGCTGTTTCTGCAACTGACGCAGGGCTTTTCGACATCCACGTTATAATTTCGGCTCTTTCGCCACCCTCGTACCCTTCAGAATTCCTATTTGGTGCCATGATAGTTCTCTTCCCCCTCAACCTAAAGGGTCGCACACCTCAGAACTATGTTTATACGTGATACATCGTGATACTGTTCCTATTTGGCGCCATGATAGTTCCCCCCAACCCAGCCGAAAGGGTCATACCCCTCAGAAGCATGTTTATATGTGATATTTTTCGTATATGGTGCCATGATAGTTTCCCCCACCTCCAACCTAAAGGGTTGTACCCCGGTCAGAAGATTTCAGAAGTATGTTTCTATGTGAGAAAGTTTTGTTTGTGTAATAATTCCTGTGTGCAATCCCTCTTTTTGTAAAAGTTTCTGTGTGTAAAGGCTTCTCTGTGTAAATGTTTCTGTGTGTATATGATTCTCTGTGTGAATGCTTCTCTGTGTAAAAGCCTCTGCGTGGAAAAGCACTCCGTGTAAATGTAGCAAAGGCGCCTGTAAAAGGTTCTCTGTGTACAACATTTTTGGTAAAGGCGTTTGCGTGCAGAAGCTTCTGTGTATCTAAAAGCGCCTGTGTGCAAAAGCTGCTCTGTGTCAAAGTTTCTGTGGACGGCCGTGGACAGCGTAAAGGCTTCTGTGTGTAAAAGCTCCTCTGTGTCAAAGCCTCTGCATGTAAACTCATCTGTGTGCAAAAGCGTTTGTGTGTGAAAACTGCGCTGTGTAAAAGTTTCTGCCTGCAAGAGTTTCTCCTTGTCAAACCTTTGTGTGTATAGGCTGTTCTGTGTAAAGGTTTCTTTGTGTAGACGCCTCTGTGTGTAAAAGTTTGTCTGTGCAGAAACTTCTGCGTAAAACCTGCAGCATCTCTTGCCACTCGTCACTCAGGTGCCAACCCTGGAGCAAAGTTCCTGTGGGGACAAAAAGCATCAATCTATGGATGTATGACATTTGACCTGTGTCAGCTATCATTCATCATCATCATCATCATCATCATGATCCCCATCATCTTTTTATGACCATTTAAGTTGGTGGCGAGGGGAGGAAGGGACCCAGGGAGGTACCAGCTACCAGTCATTATATAACCCAATTTGCTTGCTGTCGTTTTGCTGGGTTCTCCGGATGCTAGTGCGGTGACGCATTTTTAACGGATGCGCTTCTACAAACAGACGACGTTACGCGCAACAGCCTTCGGCCGACCTGCCCTGTTGCCGTTTACACTCCTGTCCATCTTGCTTCCTCCTCCTGATCGCCTGGCTTTCGTGTTCCCCCTTCCCGAGTTCAAAACAAGAATGTTGTTATCGAAGACAACGTCCTGGCATTCCAGGAATGGGTCAGAAATGTCGCCAAAGTGGACACAGATAAGTACAACTTTGGCCGAACAGAATACGATGTCTACACAGAAGCAATGAGTCTGCTGCGTCCAGAGCCAGCGACTTCTGGAACCTGGGAGTGGATGTCTGCCTGCTTCCAGGCCGAGAAACCTAGCAGCAAAACTGTGCCAAATCACATTACTGATATACATGGAGGATGGTATATATCTTTATGCATACATACATACATACATATATATATATATATCCAACTTCAAGGTGTTTCTGTTGCTAAAACAGCATGGTTTGGCTCAACTGGTCTGTTGGATCACTGGTGCCCTGATTTTTTTAATTTTATCACATGATATCATGTGCAAAAATCAATGTGATGCCAGAAGTGAGCCTTGTCTATCTTTGTTTGCTGGGAGGCAGTACCGGAGGCGCTGCGAAAAGGTATTCATGTCGTCATGCTCAACCAGCACCGTGGACACCAACTGGACCTGGCTACCGGGAAGTTTCCAACGCGACAATTCACACTTGCTGAAATTTACTAAAGGTGCCCTAAAGGTAAGTTATTTGGAGCAAAATAGCTAATTATGACTTTGGAAGTAACTTTCTAACTACTAGTTTTTTTGAAGGGTAAATTTCTAAGTTGTTTTTTAACTTTATTGTTTGTTTTCAATAGTATAATTCAAGATCTTGAAATTTGGACTTTTTTTGGAAACAAGAATGTGAATATCTAAATTTTTGAACATTGTACAGCAATGACATGATTATTGTAAAGATATTTCAATGCTTGTTACAAGATTATTTTCTTCATTGTGTGTAAAGTTAGTTGTACTTGTCACCTGGAAATGCATTAAAGTATGTTGCTTGAATTCATTCTTGTTTCAAAAACGACAATGTTGGTGTATTCAATGTTTTTTGTCTCAACTCTTGCATCATTTTCCTCAGGCTCCTCCTCTTCTCCTTCTGCATGGTCATCCTCCTCTGGCTCAGCCTTAATCTGCTTGCCAGTCTTAGCCTCGGCTTTGGCCTTTGCTCTTGGGTCAGGAGCAGGTGGAACTGCTTCAGGTTCTTTCAAAACCTTCATGACTTTGTTCTTGGCTTTCGCTTTTGCTACCTTCTTCGGCTTAGAAGTAACACCAGGAGCTTTCTTGGCAACAGCCTTGACTTTAGCCTTTGCCTTCATCTTGGCTTTGGCCGTTGCCTTTGGTGTGGCTTCAACTGAGCCTGCTCCTGGTGCAGCTTCTGTGCAAGCTTCTGGGGCAGCTGGTTCAGCTGCTGCTAGCGCAGCTTCATCCACATCTTCTGCGACTCAGATGCTGGGAAAGCTAGCAAAGGTTGAGGTGAATCAGCGGGCCTCTTCAGCAGAGCTGGAGCCCTTAAAGAATTTTTCCTGGAATGTGGTTTCAAAAATAACAGGGATTCCAAACTTCTTTTTTTGTGACTCTGGGATGTCAAAAAATCCCAGAGTCACGATAAAAAAAAAAATTGGAATCCTCATTCATTGTGAAACCCCCATTCAAGGGAAATTCCTTGATTGCGAACAGTGGCAATTTTCCGTCAAGTGTCCTTTGCAGCCCATTTTTGACCCCCCAAAAAAGGGTTTCCAGGAAATTTGCTGCAAGTCAAGAAAAACAGGTGAAAACGAAAGAACAAATCCGAATCTAAGTGGAAAATTGCCAGCGAACAATAACCCCAGCTTTGAGCCCACCCAAGGGACAGTACATAATTGCTATAGATGCTATAGTTTGAGGCATCCAAGGATATAATTTCAAAGTTCTCTCAAAAAGTAACCCCATGAAGAACAGTATGTTGCTAATTGTCGAAGGAAGTTTAGAAGTCAAACTTCCGACAATATGGACAGATGGAAAAGCAGAGGTGGGAAGAGTCAGAGAAGAGAAGAAGAGAAGAAGAGAGAATATCAGAGAAGACTAAGAGTCAGAAGAAAGAAGATGCAGGTTCGTGAAAAGGTAGCAAAGTCGCGATTCACTGTGTTTTTGTGTGGCTTTGGCGGGTCGAAAAGTAGGCTCGCTAAAGCGGCGGGTGCGGAGCCATCTGGCCAGATGAGAGATGAAAAATTGCACGCCGTTGTGGCGCGAAGCACATTTCGAAGTCAAAATGCACAAAACACCTCAGCTTCGGAGCTTTTAGAAGTTGAGATGTCGAAAAAGTACACGCCGTTGTAGCGCGAAGCACATTTCGAAGTCAACATGTACAAAACACACCATGTTCGGGCCACTTTTGGAAGTTGAGCTGTCGAAAAAGTGCACGCCGTTGCGGCGCGAAGCACATTTCCAAGTCAAAATGCTAAAGACACCACATGCTCAGACCACTTTTGGACGTTCAGATGTCGTTTGGCGTGGCCGGCGCAAGGGATTCTAGTACGTAAAAGGCTCTGTGTGTGAGAGTTCCTGTGTGTAAAAGTTTCTTTGTGTAAAAGCTTCTGTGCCTAAAAGCTTGCTTTGTGAAAAATCTCTATATAAGAGATTGTTGCGCATAAACGCTTGCCAGGGGTAAAAGCACTTTGTGTGTAAAAGTTTTCTGTGTGTAAAAGCTTGCTGTGTGAAAAAGCTTCCTGTGTGTAAAAGCTTGCTGTGTGTAAAAGCGTCTCTGTGTAAAAGCTTGTTGTGTGTAAAAGCTTCTGTGTGTAAAAGCTTCTCTGCGTAAAAATTTATCTGTGTAAAAGCGTGCCCCCGTAAAAGTTTCTCATGTGCAGAAATTTTCTGTTTCTAAAGGCTTTTCTGGGTAAATGCATCTGTGTCGCAAGCTTCTGTGTGCAAAAGCTTCTCTGTGCAAAAGCTTTCTGCCCGCAACGGCTTTTGTGTGTAAGAAACTTCTCTCTGACAGTAAAAGCTTTCCGATGTGCAGAAGAGCTGAGAAAAGCTGAGATGAGGTGAGAAGAGCTCAGATGAGATGAGATGAGATGAAGTGTGGGGTGTGAGGTGCAAGTGCGAAGTGGGAAGTGTGAAATAAGAAGAATGCAGTGTGAAGTGATGAAATTTCAAATGCAACCTTTGGAAGAGCGCATCACTGTCGCAAAAAGCACGCACTCACGGGCCTGCCTGGCGCATGGTACATACAAGTTCTATGGATAAAAAAATGTCTTATAGTCCAATCTGAGGCAATTTCTACCGCTCGTGTGGATACTACTGGCATTAATTATTATCAAAGGAAGTTGGGAAGCAATACTTCCGTGTTACGGACAAATAGAATTCTGCGACTTGAAATGATGCAGGGTGGTAGATCACACAACAATACATGACATAACAATACATAACAAAAGAATAAGAAGCAGTGGAATTGACTTTGATGAAGGGTGGTGATAATGACGGGTGGTGACGAAGGGAAGTGGTGACGAAGGGAAGTGGTGACGAAGGGAAGTGGTGACGATGGGAAGTGGTGACGAAGGGAAGTGGTGACGAAGGGAAGTGGTGACGAAGGGAAGTGGTGACGAAGGGAAGTGGTGACAATGGGAAGTGGTGACGAAGGGAAGTGGTGAAGAAGGGAAGTGATGATGAAGGGGAGTGGTGAGGAAGGGAAGTGGTGAGGAAGGGAAGCGGTGACGATGGGAAGTGGTGAGGAAGGGAAGTGGTGAGGAAGGGAAGTGGTGACGAAGGGAAGTGGTGACGATGGGAAGTGGTGACGAAGGGAAGTGGTGACGATGGGAAGTGGTGACGAAGGGGAGTGGTGAGGAAGGGAAGTGGTGAGGAAGGGAAGCGGTGACGATGGGAAGTGGTGAGGAAGGGAAGTGGTGAGGAAGGGAAGTGGTGATGAAGGGGAGTGGTGACGAAGGGAAGTGGTGAGGAAGGGAAGCTGGAGCACGAAACCCTGCGTTTTTCCGTGTAAAGTGGCTGCAGCCGGCGATGAAAGGTACCTCGTCTGTGCGGCGGTTGCGGCTGGGGTCGTTCCGGACGCGATTGGTTCCTTCTATGTGTTTTGCAACAAGTGCTTGTTCTTGTGTGCGTAGTTCTTTGCGTTTCCTGAAGCTGTGGCTGCTGATCGCATTGGAATGGCTGCATGAATGTCGCATGGGCTATGTTTTGGGGAGGAAGCCGGAGCGCGAAACCTTGTGTTTTTCCGTGAAAAGGGGCTGCAGCCGGCGATGAAAGGTACCTCGTCTGTGCGGCGGTTGCGGCTGGGGTCGTTCCGGACGCGATTGGTTCCTTCTATGTGTTTTGCAACAAGTGGTTGTTCCTGTGTGCGTAGTTCTATGCGTTTCTTGAAGCTGTGGTGGCAGATCGCATTGGAATGGCTGCATGAATGTTGCATGGGCTATGTTTTGGGGAGGAAGCCGGAGCACGAAACCGTGCTTTTTTCCGTGTAAAGTGGCTGCAGCCGGCGATGAAAGGTACCTCGTCTGTGTGGCGGTTGCGGCTGGGGTCGTTCCGGACGCGATTGGTTCCTTCTATGTGTTTTGCAACAAGTGGTTGTTCCTGTGGTGTAGTTCTATGCGTTTCCTGAAGCTGTGGTTGCAGATCGCATTGTAATGGATGCATGAATCTGCATGAATGTCGCATGGGCTATGTTTTGGGGAGGAAGCCGGAGCGCGAAACCTTGAGTTTTTCCGTGTAAAGTGGCTGCAGCCGGCGATGAAAAAGGTACCTCGTCTGTGCGGCGGTTGCGGCTGGGGTCGTTCCGGACGCGATTGGTTCCTTCTATGTGTTTTGCAACGAGTGGTTGTTCCTGCGTGCGTAGTTCTATGCGTTTCTTGAAGCTGTGGTGGCAGATCGCATTGGAATGGCTGCATGATTGTTGTCATTTGGTGTTGCCACGTCCGTAGATAGGTGCAGGTTTGCTACGGGATGCTGCGAAACGCATTGTAGTGGCTGCGTCAAGGTTGCTCGGTGGTGCGGCTGCATGCGTAATACTATTGTCTTTTGCAGCTGAAGATCGTAAATCGTATTGGAATGGCTGCATCAAGGCTGCGGAAGTGATTTGTCAGCAGATTTTTTCAATTTTGGCGCTAATAATTTTCCTTTTAAAATTGTTTTTAAAAAGTGCGTCAAAATCGTCTTTTTGTCGCTTTGGCGTCGAGATCCGGTTTTGGAGCTGCAATTTCCGACGCCATTGCACGTAGTTCTATTGTGTTTTGCAACTCAGTCTCTGCAGATCGCATTGTAATGGCTGCGTCAAGGTTGCTTCTTGCCACGGCTGCATGCGTAATACTATTGTCTTTTGCAGCTGGACTTCGTAAATCGTATTGGAGTGGCTGCATGAAGGCTGCGACAATGATTTGTCAGCAGATTTTCTCCATTTTGGCACTAGTGATTTTCCTTCTAAAAATCCTTTTAAAAAGTGCTTCAAAATCGTCTTTTTTTTGCTCTGGCGTCGAGATCCGGTTTTGGAGCTACAATTTCCGACGCCGTTGCGCGTAGTTCTATTGTGTTTTGCAACCCAGTCTCTGCAGATCGCATTGTAATGGCTGCGTCAAGGTTGCTTCGTGCTGTGGCTGCATTTGTCATACTATTGTCTTTTGCAGCTCGACTTCGTAAATCGTATTGGAGTGGCTGCATGAAGGCTGCCACAGTGATTTGTCAGCAGATTTTCTCAATTTTGGCGCTAGTGATTTTCCTTCTAAAAATCCTTTTAAAAAGTGCTTCAAAATCGTCTTTTTTTCGCTCTGGCGTCGAGATCCGGTTTTGGAGCTACAATTTCCGACGCCGTTGCGCGTAGTTCTATTGTGTTTTGCAACTCAATCTCTGCAGATCGCATTGTAATGGCTGCGTCAAGGTTGCTTCGTGCTGTGGCTGCATTGGTAATACTATTGTCTTTTGCAGCTGGATCTCGTAAATCGTATTGGAGTGGCTGCATGAAGGCTGCGACATGGATTTGTTAGCAGATTTTCTCCATTTTGGCGCTAGTGATTTTCCTTTTAAAAATCCTTTTAAAAAGTGCTTCAAAATCGTCTTTTTTTCGCTCTGGCGTCGAGATCCGGTTTTGGAGCTACAATTTCCGACGCCGTTGCGCGTAGTTCTATTGTGTTTTGCAACTCAGTCTCTGCAGATCGCATTGTAGTGGTTGCGTCAAGGTTGCTTGGTGCAGCGGCTGCATGCGTAATACTATTGTCTTTTCCAGCTGAAGATCGTAAATCGTATTGGAATGGCTGCATCAAGGCTGCGAAAGTGATTTGTCAGCAGATTTTCTCAATTTTGGCGCTAATAATTTTCCTTTTAAAATTCCTTTTAAAAAGTGCTTCAAAATCGTCTTTTTGTCGCTTTGGCGTCGAGATCCGGTTTTGGAGCTGCATTTCCTGTTGTGATTATGTACAAGAAAGCTTCTCTGTGCAAAACTTTTTCTGTAAAAGCTTGCTGTGTGTAAAAGCTTCTCTGTAAAAGCGTCTCTGTGTAAAAGTTTCTGTGTGTGTAAACGCTTGCCATGTGTTAAAAGCACTGTGCGTAAGTGTTCTGTGTGTAAACGCTTGCTGTGTGTGAAAGCTTGCTG